CAAAAAAAAAAAAAAAAAACGCAGACAATATGAACAGATATTTCATAAGAAAATACACACATGAAAAATACTGTTTTCATTAGTCATTAGGGAAATGCTAATTAAAACTATCACTATATGTCTTTTAGAATGGTTAAAACAAAATATAACAATCAAAAACTAGAAAAGATGCAGAGCAAATGGAGCTCCCATATTACTAGTGAGAATGCCAACTGGTTAATAACCATTTGAAAAAGTTCGGCTGATTATTATGCAATTACAATGTGGCCTACTAATCTAGCTCCTAGGTCCCTAGCTAGGGGAAATAAAAAGTGTTCACTGCAGCTTGATCCATAACTGCCAAAAATTGGAAAAAATCCAATGTCTTTTTACTGGTGATTGACGAGCTATAACATTAACAATACTCTTCAGTATTAAAAAGGAGTTACTGAGGGCCAGCAATTTAGCTCAGTTGTTCTGCCACCTGCCTTGCAAGCAAAAAATCCCAAATTCGATCCCCAGCACCAAAAACAAAACAAACAAAAAGGGGTTACTGATAATAGAGATATAGATATATACAGAGATCAACTGCAAAAAAATTATGGAATAAAAACGAGATTCAAAGGACTACATAATATATGACTACCTTTATACAACATTCTAGAAAAGCCCAGGGAAAAACTACAGGGGAAGAAAGAGGTTAAGTGGTGGTCAGAGAGTGATAGTGGAAGGAGGGATTGACTACAAGATACTGGGATAACAGAAATACTTGCTGAGTATTTTTGAAGAAGGTGTTACACAACACTGTGTTTCATTAATTTCAAATACATATACACAAACATGTGTGTGCATGCAATATACATACACACACATTTATTTATTTGTTTGTTTATTTATTTATTTATATTTGGCAGTGCCAGGAACTGAACTCAGGACTTTGCACTACACTTTTATATCATATTTTATTTTATTTTTTGTTTGGTTTTTTTTTTTTTTTGAGACAGGGTCTCACTATGTATTTGAGACTGACCTGGAATTCACTATGTAACCCAGGCTGGTCTCAAATTCCCAGCGATCCTCCTGCCTCAGCCTCCCAAGTGCTGGGATTACAGGCGTGCGCCACCACGCCCGGCCCTATACCATATTTTAAAATGAAAAAGAGAAATTATTAATCATACTTCCTGGGACACAAACCTAATACAAAAAAATGTTTATTTATGTCTAATAATGTCTATTGCCCTAAATTTTAAAATATAATTTTACCAAAAATGAACTGAAAGCCTATTTTGAATGTCAATAGTCTCTTAGTATCTAGTTAAAGGGGGAAAAGAGACTATCATTCACCTATTCACACCAACCTGATAAGGTGTATTTCGTAGCTTCGACTGTCTTACAGCAGCTGCTGCCCCACCATATGTTGTTTTCCCAGGATAAAAAGGAGAATCTCCAAGCTGACTTGTTTTAAGATTTGAAGAATTCCCAAGTGACTGCACAGAAACACAGTGTCAAATTATAAACAAAAATACTCAAAACCAATGTGAATAAATCCAATTCAGTTCATACTCACAGGGGAAAGTGTTCCAAAGGCAGACAAGTTGAATGCTGGTTTTTTTGAGGTGGAGGCAGTGTGCTGTGAGACTGACTGAGAGCGATCAGTCTCTGGAGACCACAGATGTGGCAATGAAGTGTTCTTTGAAACAGCTATATCTGAAAAAGTACATAGTTTATACTTACACACCAATTATAAGACCCTAGATTTTTATAAAGAGTACTGAAAATTAAAAACTAAGAAGAAATTTGATGTCATGAAATTTACATTTACTACCAAAATTACTACCAAAGCCTAAGAATACCTTTGTCAGATGCTCTTGAAGAAAAACCACTGGTAGTTGAGATGTTATCATCATCATGTTGAGAGGTAGAATCTTTAATTTCCTTTACAAGGGAAAATCCAGAACTGCCAATTGGAAATGCCGAAGATGTGGATGGTTGACAGTGTAATGCAGGGGATTCCAACATAGAGAAATTCAGATGGCTCCGATGAAGAGAAGGCCTTGTTAATACATCTGGGTAATGTGAACTAGTACTAGTTGTTGAAGGTTCTTAAGAAGAGAAACAATATAATAAACATAGAATTTTACAAAGTAATATACTATTATAATAAAATAATTCTTACTTTAAAAAATACAGCTTCAATTTACATCACTGAGGCCTCCAACAATAAGTTCAACTGAATATATTCTTCAACTAGTCAAGGTTTGGACTATTTATTTTTGTTTGTTTGTTTGTTTTTTGGCCGGGTATCGAACTCGGGACCATATGCTTGCGAAGTAGGCAGAAGAATCACTGACCTAAATCCCTGGCCCTTAGTCAAGGTTTAATCTAACAAAAACACATTAACTAACTTGTCAAAATATGTGTGTTAAATATATCACATCCAACTTCTTAAAGCATGTGGCTTTAATTTCCCTTGAACAGATATTACTGTAAGATTTACTTACCAAAAAGAAAATCAAAGACACCAAGAAAATCATGAAACCACAGGTATGTTTTTCCCTACCAAAACAGCCATTAATTTATATATCCTCCCAGATATTCTATATGCATATACAAATATATATTTTCCCCAAACATATAATATTATACCTCCTGTTCTATGGCTTTTTCATTTATAATATAACTTTTTCTACATTCAGAGCACTCCCTTTAAAACTACACTATTTTCTATCATGTTATCACATTAATTGTAATATTCATTCAGTTATTTTCCTGATATGCCATTAAACATGCATTTACTTATAAATGCATTTTAAAGGGTTGGGGGAATATTGGAGATCAAACTCAGGATCTTGCACTTGTGAGGCAGGTGGTGGCACCACTGAGCTAAATCCCTGGCCCTATAACTGCATATTTTTAAGAGTATTAATTTGCATAAACCTATGGTTCTCCACTTTAAGTACATATGATTATCATGAGAGAAGAAGTTATTAAGTATTTCTGAGCCGCTCAGAAGTGGTATGATTCAGTAGGTCCGAGGTTGTGCTCATAAATAACCTAAGCAGTCCCATGTATTCTAAGAATCAATGTAATTAACAATTATACGTGGAATTGCTGTCAGACTGAATACTCAATACAAAATAGAAGAAAATATCTGCACAGTATGTAATATAAGGGGTTCATGTCCAGAATACATAAATTAACTCTTACAACTCAAAGCTAAAATTCAAATAAATCTGACTAAAAATTAAGCAAAGAACCTGAACAGACATTTCTCCAACGATACAGAAAAGTGGTCAACAAACATGAAAAGATGTCCAACATCACTAACCACCACAGGAATATAAATCAAAACCATGATGAACTATCACCTATTATTGGAACAGCTACTATCAGAAAAAAATAAGTAAATGTTGGCTAGGATGTGGAGAAATCGGAAATTGTTGAGCACTGGTGAGAGGAATGTAAATAGTGCTACATCTACAGCAACAGTGATAATTTTTCAATTATTATAGAATTTCCATGATCTATGAATTCTACTTTGATATTTACATACTCATGTTTGAAGCATTTTTTCACAAAAGCCAAGAAGTAGATATAAGCCAAATGTCTTTCAACAGATAAATCAATAAACAAAATGTGGTATACACATTTAATACTGCTCTACCTTAAAAAAAGGAAATCTTGATGCATGCTATGATAAATATGTATCTTAAAGACATATTACATGAAATATGCCAGGCATCAAAAGACAAATATTGTATAATTTCACTCATGTGAAGTATTCAAACTGGTCAAAGCCAGTTTAGAGTAAGAAACTAGAATTGTGGCTGCCACGGGATGAAGGAATGTTGGTGTTTGTTTATGGGTATAGACATTCAGTTCTTCAAGATTACAAAAGTTCTAAAATGAATAGGGGTAGTGGTTACACAACAATGTGAATATATCTATGTCAATGAACTATACAAATAAAAGTGATCAGAATGAGGGCCAGGGATTTATCTCAGTGGTTCCGCCACCTGCCTCGCATGTGCAAGGGGACCCAAGTTCGATCCCCAATACCAAAAAAAGATCAGAATGATAAATTTTATGTTTATTTTCTCAAAATTAAAAAAAAAAATTTCTAAGAAGGAAAGTGCAACAAGGAGAAGAATTCTTTAAGAATAAACACTCAGGGCCAGAGATTTAGCTCAGTGGTTCCACCACCTGCCTTGCAAGCCCAAGGACCTGAGTTCAACCCCCAGTACCAAAAAATAAAAAAATAAAAATAAAACACTCAGGCCAGGATTTACACTCAGTGGTACTGCCTCCTTGCCCTACAAGTACAAGGTCCTAAGTTCATTCCCCAGTGCTAATAATAATAATAATAATAATAATAATAATAATAATAATAAAAACACTCAGGAAACTTCTGGGAATATGGGCACAGTACTGAAGACCACATCTACCACCCTGACAGTCTACCACTGGGCTACATAATCCCCAGCCTGTTTTAAAATTCTGAGACAGGTTCTTTGCTAAATTGAGGTGAGATTTGAATTTGCAATTCTCCTTCCTCAGCTTCCCTGAATGCTGGGATGACAGGGATATGTCACCACACTGAACCAAACAAAGCATTCGATCGTAAAAATCCAATAGGATATCTAAATTGATTTCATATAATAATTTATCAAATATGCTCAAATTAAAAGATACTGCCTGAAGCTTAGAATTCTACTTGTATCATCATTTAATCCAATTAGAATTCAGATGTTATATTCTTCCTTAGAGCTGCAAGATGCTGGGTTCAATATCCAGCATCACAATAAAAAAAAAAATTTTTTTTCTTTTTTTTTTGGTACCACGGATTGAACTCAGCACCTTGCATTTGCAAGGCAGGCAACCAGCAGTACTTTTTTTTTTTTTTGTTACCAGGGAAGGAGCTCGAGTCCTTGCGAGGCAAGTGTTGCAACCACTGAGCTAAATCCCCGGCCCGACCAGCAGTACTTTTAACACTGACTACAGCCATTAAATACTTTGAGAAAGATCAAAGCAGATTATCTGGGATTCATAAGGTTTAATACAAAAGCAGGATTCAGATCCAAAAAACAAGAAAAATATACAAGTTCTTCAAATAGATATTGAGAAGCTGTCCACAATTTGCTTATAGAAGCTGAAGGTAAAGCTCAATGCTACAGCACTGAGTGAGATCTTTGTGTTCAGTCCTTTATAGGAAGGCAAAACACAATCAATGATAACAGGAGTTGGAGGGGGTAAGTGGGCAAAAGAGTGTAAAAAGGGTGTGGGCAAAAAGGGAATAGAGAAAATGAAACCAGCCAAAAGTAACTGTCAATGCAGCTGGGTGAGGGTACACTGAAGTTTATTGTACAACACTCTTCTATAGTTTTAAATTTTCCATAATTTAAATGTATGTTATAAAAATGTGTATGGAATACACTCAATCAAAAAGCTGCTTTAGGGCCGGGGATTTAGCTCAGTGGTGCTGCCACCTGCCTCGCAAACGAAAGGACCCGAGAGTTCGATTCTCAGTTAAAAAAAAAAAGCTACTTTATAAATACTATAATGAATAAAATCTGAGTACAAACTGACCTTGGGAAACCAATGAGATTAATTTCACTGTTTTCATGAAAATACACACACAAAAAGAACTTCACAGATGACATGTTAGAAGCTCTCCATGTATCTTACCATCTAAATTAAATTTCAAGTTAATTCTACAAGTACTGTATACTCATTTGGATAGAAAAGATGGTTTTTGTCACTGTGGATGTTATTACATACAAACTACAAATCCTTAACCAAAAGAAAAACTGGAGTTCCCTTTAATGGCCAAAATAGAAAATGACATGGAAGCAGTCAGATTTTCCAGATAAAGCCTCAATGTTTGTTGATAATGTTTAAAAGAAATTTTGAGAAGTACAGGTATTAAGTCTTCGCAAGTCACTTTAATGAAAACCATTAAACATTTGAAAGACTATACCAATTTTTCTTTTTTCTTTGGTACTGGGGATCAAACTCAGCACCTTGCACTTGCAAGGCAGGTGCAGTTACCACTGAGCTAAATCCCCAGCCCAAGACTATAACCATTTTTAAATGTATTTTTTATTTCCATAAGACCTAAACTTGTTTTGTTGTTCTTTTGGTAACAGGGATCAAACACGGGACCTTGTGCTTGCCAGGTAGGCAGCGGAACGACTGATGTAAATCCCTGGCCCCTGACTATACCAAATTTAATCTAAGAAAATTTAGAAGCTGGGTGTCATAGTGCACATCTGTACTCCCAGCACTCTGGGAGGCTGAGGCAGGGGGGTAACAAGTAAGGCTGGGCAACTTAAGTGACTCAGCAAAACTCTTGTCTCAAAATAAAAAATAAAAAGGACTAAGGATGTAACAGTGCAAAAATCCTACGTTCAATTCCCAGTATCTCCCCCACCCACATACACATGACAAAAAGACTTAGACTTGCACTCTTCCAAAAGAACTATTTTTTCAAGCTCATTTTGCTATCACTATTTTTCACTACAAGTAAATCAGGCAGGAAAATGTGTTACTAAGTATGCCAAAATTAAACAGCTATATATCCAAGTCAATTGTTTATTCAAGACAAGATTTAACAGAAAAAATTTTCTAACTATATTTGTCAAAAAATGTAGTAAAAAAAGATAAACACAAAGATAAATTGGACGACAAAAATCAAACACACTTGTGCTTCAAAGGATATTATCAAGAAAATGAAAAGATAGTCCACAGAATAGAATAAAATATTTGTAAACTGTACACTTATAAGGGATTTTAGAAATGGGAAGAGGAAAAAAAAAAAAGTGGGAAAAAGAGCCAGACATAGATAGTGGCACACTAGGTTAATCCCAGGACTCCAGGAGGCTAAGGCAGAAGATTTTGAATTCGAGCCCAGCTTGGGCAATTTAGCAGCAATTACAAAGATACACAAATGACCAATAAGCACTATAAAAGCTGCTCTACATTGTGAGTGATCAGGGAAATGCAAACCAAAACCACAATGAGATGCTACCACTACCACACACACTAGGATAGCTATAATCAAACTAAAAATAAGTATAAGGATAGAAAGAAACTGGAACCTTCATAAACTACAAGTAGAAAGATAAAATGTAGCCATCTCGGAAAACACTCTGGCAGTTCCTCAAAAATACTAAATAAAATCATCATATTCCCCAGCAATTTTACTCCATAAGAAAATCTTCATAAATTCATAGAAACAGTAATCATATCCAAAAAGTGAAAACAACTGAATGTCAGCTAATGAATGATAAGTTATCAGTAAAATAACAAACTGTCCAACTATAAAAAGAAATGAGAACTCTGATACATTTTATAGATGAATTTTGAAAACATCATGCTAAATGAAAGTCAATCACAAAGACATATTATTTGATTACATTTATATAAAATGTCTAGAATAGGCAAATTCAGAGTTAGGAAAATTACCGGTTACCAGGAGTTGGGAGAGGGGAATTAAGTTATTGATAATTGGTATGCAGTTTCTTTGTGGAGTGACACAAATATTCTAAAATAATGGCAGTGATGGGTGTAGAACACTGAACATACTAAGAATCACCAAACTACATGTTAAATAGGTAAATTTTGGGCTGGGGATTTAGCTCAGTGATTCTGCCACCTGCCTCGCAAGCCTAAGGACCCAAGTTCAATCCCCAGTACCAAGAGAAGAAAAAAAAAAGTGAATTTTATAGCATATCTCAATAAAGCTATTAAAAGTAATGTGTGTGTGTGTGTGTGTGTGTGTGTGTGTGTGTCTGTGTGTATATACAGGCACAGTGAAATTAGAGCAATCTAAATATATCATACTTGTGGGTTATACTAAATTTACGAGATACTTGTAAACCCTGCCAGAATACTGCAAAGTAGATCCAAAAATGTTCATGCCTTTAAAATGCAGCATCATTTAACTGCATGATTAATGGATGATCAAGCTGAGTTTGCTCTGGAGAGGACAAGTACCAACTGCAGTTACACCCAAATGCACATGCTGTGACAGGCACTATGTCACAGTTTCACAGTAACAGTTTACATTTTTTCCAGCTTCCTTAGTGCCAGCATCTACTCTAAGGGTTTCACAATTTTTTTTTTTTAAAACCAAGGGGTTAGTCTTAAACTTTGTGGCCTCAAGTGATCCTCCTGCCTCTGCCTGAAGGTCCTAAGTTACTTCTATTACAGACATGCACCACGAAAGCCTGCTGACACTATTCTTCCTGAAACAACTTACAAGGTAAAAAAGAGAAACATCTTATCTCATCAAAAGCCATCTAATATTACTGGTATGAAAGTCAAACCCAAAGGCTAACATCACACCTCACACTTTCACTGATGTAGCAGCCATCCTTAATAAACAAAAGGCTGATAAATAAAAAAAGTTTCCAGTATGAACATCATCACCCCCCCAACATACTCAGCGAGATTTGCTACAGCTAGGTAATAGAAAGCTATTTAAAATTGGGGCATGAAACCCTGTCGTTCAGCCAGGCGTGGTGGTGCATGCCTGTAATCCCAGCACTTGGTAGGCTGAAGCAGAAGGATTACCATGAGTTCATTCGAGGTCATCCTGGGCTACACAGTGAGTTCAAGGCCAGCCTTAAGACCCTGTCTCAAAATAAATAAATAAATTTTAAAAAAATTTTAATCTGTCATTTATAGCAAGATAGTCAGTCTATTTTACCTGCTGCACTACTGACTGCTGGCTCAGGAGTGACTCGCCCATCACTGATCTCAGCATTCTCCTCACTGGCATACATCACACGGTCATCTCCTCTATCTTCTGCCCAGTGTGGCACCTCGTTGGTGTCTGTCGAGCAGCTACACGCATCTTCATTTTTACTGAAGTATCTCTGTAGCCACCCTGGCACAATATTCTTAACAGACTCTGTAACCCTGCTAAGAATGCCCTGTTGGGGGAAAAAAAAGACTATTTTAGAAATTTATTTTTTAAATAAACATACACATAGAAGAATGTAAAATAAAATACAATTTTCTCAAACAAAGTTCACTAAAATTTAGTTGCTAAACTTTTTTGGGGTGGGGCGGTACCAGAGATCAAACTCAGGACCTTGCACTTGGCAAGTCAGGTGTGTTTGCCACTGAGCTAAATCCCCAGCTTCAATCACTAAACTTATGATGGCATAATGCTACTTTATAAATCCTACAGACTATAAAATTCATACCTTTTGGTATTATATGCTAAGCTAATATCATCACAAATGACTATAATATTCTAATCTTTTAAGATCTCAATGGCCATCAAATAAGCAAGCTCTAGTTTAGTAAAATATGCAATGTTGTAACTCAATAAAATGCACCCTTTTGTAACCACCATATTAAAACAAATATAACCACACCGTTAAGTTATTTTAATGTATTTTAGCAAAAAAAAACTTTAGATAAAAATAGTAAAGTAAGAAATGAGACATCTAATAGAACAAAGTAAGCTAAACTCAAGATTTACAATCTTTTCTGATGATGAAATTGTACTGTCAAATGTTTCCTGAAAAATCTGAGGAATTTATTTATTTATGGTAACTTTTAAAGGGCAAAATAGAACATGATAATACTATGAGTATTATTAACATTTCCTGTAGTTCTGGTATGAGTCAGACACTGTTCTAAGCAATTTATATAGACTACTCAATTAAATCCAGACAGTAACTTTATAAAGTTGGAATTAACATTCCCAAAGTGAAGTTGTCAGGGGCCCAAGGTATAAACAAAACTACTACAATATATTTAGAAGAAAGTAAAACAGGGTTTGGGATTGCCAGAACCTAAGGTAAAATTTTAGTATCTCGCTGCTCTTCGATTTAGTCTAAGTTAAATAAAAATATCCCTGCCTACAACTACCCATAGGAACTAATAATGTCAAATGAAATAATGTCTAAGTACTCAATTTACAAAAGTATAACAAACATATACTGATAATTTTACTGCTAACAAGGAAAAAAGCTAACAGAAACAAACTGGGGTGAGGTATAAATTCAAGCAACTTCCTTCATAACGTGGCATTACTTGAATTTCAGAGAAAAAGTCACAGAAAAAAAAAACCTTAGCAGATAACCCCCACTCACAAAAGTTAACCCAAAATATATAAATCTATTTTGAAAGCAAATTCAACGTAAAGAGGCTTTAAAAACCCGGGCCAGGGATTTAGCTTAGTGGCACCACACCTGCCTCACAAGCGCAAGGTCCCGAGTTTGATTCCTGCCTCAAAAAAGTGTAACTGGGAACTACGTAATTATTTTTCCATGTATTCTCCATAAAAGAAATTATCAACAGATATACAAAGCAAGCTCTCTATCAAACATAAGAAGCCAATAATTCTAAAATATTCACTACTATGGTAAAAAAATAAATACAAACTCACTGTTTCCCCTTTCTATACCTGTGTTACATAGTATTACTTTGAAAAAAAAAGGGAGGCTATATCTATATTTAACACTGCATGTATAGAAACACACACAGCACTAGTTATTTTTATCTCTCCCCTATTTTCAGAAAAGCTAAAAGCGCTTTTAAGTTAAAACACACTTTAAGATAGACTTAAAAATAAATGACATAAGGTTTCAAGTTAGCTGAAGAACTACAGCAAAGACATAGGATGGAAAGGCTTCTGTGAAATTTTTTCCAAGGTGTTTAAACTACAAGCATATCAAAGATCCCTGTGACTCCAGTCTATCAAAATCAATTCACAACTCAAAACGGACACCATATTTAACCAGAAGTCATGTAGTAGCATTAGGTATCTTGGAGAATAATCACAAAATAAAACTGAACAATGGAAAAGAGACATAAAAAGGCTCATTCACTAAAATGCACAAACTGTGCTTACAGCTTTTGTTTTCTAGGCTAAAACTTAACCAATTTATCTAATCTCAGCCCAAAGCAATTTAGCACAGGAAAATTACACAGAACAGAAGTTAGTCTGGCACACAGAATAAAAAGTAGCTGGGTGTGGTGGCCCATGCACATAATCCCAGCACTCACCAATCCTCAGCCTTGGTGTGAGGCTCAGATCAAAGCTGGTTAAACACCAGCCAGGCTACACAGAGAGTTCAAAGCCAGCCTGAACTACATATTAAGACTTTATCTCAAAAAAAAAAGCAACAAATAAAAAAATATAGATTAATTATGAAGAAAATCCCTGCACTACAGTAACCAAATATACTTTTGTAAGTTAAATGACCTATATCATCAAGAAAAAGTTAAGATGAAATACACTAATATTACTGGTTCTCAAAGTATAATTTCTTTAGCTATTAGTAATAGCATTACCTCAGGCCCTATGCCATCTTATTAAAGGAACAACTCGTAAAGTGAGGCCCATCTTTTTATCAAGTCGTCCAAATTATTCTGATGTACGGGCTTCATTAAATTTCAACTGTCTAGCAAACACAAGTAGAGCACTAGTCAGACAATAAAAGGAAAATATCCTAGAACCAACCAGAACAACAAATCTTAATAGTGACCATTTTTGGACTACACTGAACACAATGCAGCTCATACACTGCTATTCTTCACGCAATCAATATTTTTTGATCATACAGTTATGAGTGAGGTCACAGTAGTGAACAAGAGCTTGTCTTCTTGGAGCTTATAAATCAAGGAGAAAAAAACAAACACAGTAACACAGTATGTAACATATAAACACATAATACAGTGATTCAGTGCCATGAACAAAAATAAAGCCAGAAAGTAGATATCCTATAATATAAGCACAGAGAGCACCTGAGAAAATGAGAAATACACCATGCAAACTTCTGGAGGAAGTATCATATTCTAAGAGAACAAAAGGTACAAAGACCAAAATACAGGAATGTATGTCCTTAGCACAGGCTGTCCAAGTTTCTAGTAACTCTACTATTAATAAACGTAAAAATCTATTAAATCTTTAAATAACTTTAAATCCTTCAAAATTCCCCTTGAAACTTTCACTCAGACATCTTAAGAATCTGCCTCATCTTTTATCCTGTGGCCCATATATCTAGTCATTACAAAAGTCTAAGACAGTAGTTCTGAAAATGTAGTCCTCAGACTGGCAAACTTGGTGTTACTCATAAGATCATCATAAAGGGAAATTTCTTTTTAACAAGTGCTTACATGATTCTTAATGCAAAACTCAGTGCCTGGTTAATCCAACTATAGCCTTCATAAACATAACTCCGAGTATAAAATTTTGCCTAAAAGACCATCCTATTTTCATGATTATCTTTTTATCAAATGCATCATACCTTTACTATCAATGCTGAGAATCAATCAGAAGTAAACCTGAGGGCCTACCTTTGAGTCTTACTTTCATTATTAAAGACTTACACAAGGTCTTCATTATTAAAGACTTACACAAGGTCTTTGCAGTAAATAACCAACTACTACCAGACATCAGATTTTAAAACTACAGTGGGGGAAGGGGAAGACACATTTCTCTCAATTATAAACAGCACTGGGTAAGAGACTGTCAAGAGGTAAGGGACCCTGCCTATGAAAAAGATTCAGAGAAGTATCTCCCTATCTGGCAATTTTTAAAGAGTTTTTCAATGTCAAAGACAGACTTCAGCAACTAATGGAAAACTGAAGAAGTAAAAGGAGCTACAAAATAGGGAAAATAAGCTTCATATGGAAAAATTTCTTTTGACCTTACTACCAAAAAGGTCCCAAACACTCACCTATCTTTTCAGGAGGTCTTGAAAAGAGTTATTCAGGTCTTTATGAAACTAGGGCAAAAGACTGCTTTGTGTTTTTTTAAAAACCTAACAAAACAAATCTGATGGGGAAACAAAAGTACTGAGGAAGTCCAGGAAGGAGTGAATACTCAAATCCTACTACACCAAATCAATATCTTCCCCACTGTCAGAGGCTTCAGCAGTAAGAATAAAGGCAACAATGACTATCTGATGTCCCAGACAGTCTCCCCTTATATCTAACAGAGCCCAGAGCTCTGACAGGAAGTTAAGTACGCTCTGTCCACAGACTGCTCTAGAGTATAAGTTCTGAGAGATGGCATCAAGTCTCACAGCACAGATTAGCTGGTGCACAGGTTCAATTTATCTACAGCTGTCCTGCTCAAATGACATCTTATTGCAACATATGAATATTCTAGGAGAAGATTCTAAAAACATCAATAATTCTAAAATAAGCCAGGCATGGTGGTGCACAGTGGTAATCCCAGTCCGCAGAAGGTTTGCCACAAGTTTAAGGCAAGCCTCAGCTACATAGTGAGTTCAAGGCCAGCCTGAACTACATAGTGAAACCCTATATCTAGAAAACAAACTCAAAAAACTTGGTTTAATAATGATTTAGTTCAGTGGTTCCATTGCCTGCCTTGATAGCAAGCACAAGGTCCAGAGTTCGATCCCTTATAACCCCCCAAATTAATTAATTTTAAAAAGTGATAAATCACCTTTGGCAATTATTTTTGTTATCCCACTAATATTCCTTCCCAATGAAAAACAACTTTGTCAATCTATCCAACAGCAAGAAGAAATGGAAACATCCTCTGGAATGATAAATAATATATAGACAACTGAAGAAAAGCAGAAAGACAGCCCCAAAAAAGCCAAATTATTGAAGTGCTTAGGAAAAACAAATAGCATTAAAATCTTTAAAATATTCCCTGTGGCACCAAAGCAAAGCCTACATCAGATAATCAGAAATAATTAAATTAAATTCAAGGATTAAAGAAGTGAACTTTGGCCAGGCGTGGTGGCCCATGTCTGTAATACCAGCACTTGGGAAGCTGAGCAAGGCAGGAGGATCACTGTGCTTTCGAGACCAGCCTGAGGGCTACACATAGTGAGTTCCAGATCAGTCTCAACTACACAGTGAGGCAGTGTCTCAAAAAACAAAACACAAAAAAATAAAATAAGTGAATTTTTAAACTTGGCCTTGATAAATCAACTGGGTTTTCTCTCCCCATGAACTAAGAGTTCTTCATTTGGCCAAAAAGATTAAGCCACTGGAGTTTAGAATAAACAACCCATTGGGGACCAGAAGTAAATTCAGTACTAAACATATATCAAGAACATTTAATATGTAAAGGCACTGTGAATAGATTAACTTTTCAAATTACATTTAACTTGATTTCAAGGATTAATGAAAGATGACTGGGGAAGGAAAAGGGATATTCTGTAACAGTAACTTGAATTTATTTGTAATTTAAAAGATGTTCATTTCTACAAGCTTTTTCAGTAGACATGTTTCCTATACATCCTTTCTTTTTTTGGAGACAGGGTCTCACTATGTAGTTGAGACTGACCTGGATGGAGCTCACTATGTAGCCCAGGCTGGTCTTGAACTCACAGCAATCCTCCTGCCTCAGCCTCCCCAGTGCTGGGATTACAGGCGTGCACCATCACGCCTGGCCTTACCTGGTTTCAATAATCCAAATTTAACTTCCAAATCTAAAGTATTAATTATCATACTTTTTAAAAACTATAAGACACTCAACAGCCAATCTTACCACATCCAAGCTGGTCTTGCTCACAGCAATCCTCCTGCCTCAGCCTCCCCAGTGCTGGGATTACAGGCGTGCACCATCACGCCTGGCCTTACCTGGTTTCAATAATCCAAATTTAACTTCCAAATCTAAAGTATTAATTATCATACTTTTTAAAAACTATAAGACACTCAACAGCCAATCTTACCACATCCATCCAGTTGAAGTCCTGTAGCCACTTAAAATACTTTTGTGGGTAAATCTACAATTGGCTACGAAATTTAAATGAGAGAAATATAACCCACTAAAAGGCCAAGGCAATTAAACACATTACAAAGCACTTACAAGATATTCTTACACTTTTCTCATATAATATGTTTGAATCTAAGGGTAAGGATTTATTTCTTTTTTTTTTTAATTTTCGGTACCGGGGATTGAACTCGGGTCCTTGTGCTTGCGAGGCAGGCCACCAAACCGCTGAGCTAAATCCCCGGCCCTAGGATTTATTTCTTAAATCACAGTATGAAAAAATAAGCAAAATCAAGAAAACAAACTATAAATAGACATTAAAAGCAACCTGTCATCCAGTTTCTGATCAGTTTTGTTTTGCTGTTTTTTGAGACAGGATCTTGCTATGTAGTTCAGACTGGTCTTAAACTCATTGTAGCCCATTCTGTAACTCATGGCACTCCTCTTGCCTTAGCCTCCAGAGTGCTGAGATTACAAGCATCTGCCACCATGCCAGGAAAGCTTCTGATAATAAATCTTATCTGGCAGCAGGAATTTAAACAGGTATCCCAGTACTTTGGGGGAGGGGGGTGGTCATGGTACTGAGGACCAAAACCAGGGGGTCTCTACCATGAGCTACATTCCCAGCTTTTTTTTTTTTTTTTTTTTTTTTTAATTGAGACAAAGTCTCAAAAAGTTGCCCAGGCTGGCCTCAAACTTGCCTCAGCCTCCTATCTGGCTAGGATTATAGGAATGCACCTTGCCCAGCTAATACAGAATAATCCTTAATATATTCCAACCATGACCATAGCTAAGTAGCTACAAATAAAAATTGTACTGAAAGTGCAGAATCATTAGTCCTTCCAATAATATTCTGAGCCTAATAAAAATGATTTTGACTAATGATAGCAATCCAAAGTTTACATATTACTTCAAAGAAGCAGATACCTGCATTGTCAAAGGGCTTTCCATTTCCAGGTCGTGGTGACCTCACCTGGGCTTTTTTCTGTCATCTATCGTATTAAATCAGCTAGTAAGGGCCCGATGCGTTCATGCATGCTTCTAATCTCAACACTCGGAAGCTGAGGAAAGATCATGAGTTGAAGGCCAGCCTGGACTACAAAGTGAGACCCTGTCTCAAAAAATAAAAGGGAGGGAAACTGGCAAGTAAACATGAAATACCACACAAGGGTCTATCATAAACAAAAACATTCTTTATATTCAATAGTTTTTAAACCTGAACATCTGTTTCTAGTAGTTCAAGATTGGTTTTATCATTCAAACACATAAATCTTAAATCCTGTATTTAAATGTATAAAGGAAATGGAGTGTAAATGAGGAGGAAGTTAAGAGGTAGCAAAATTCAGAGACGATATGATGTAAAGATGTTTAAATCCAAATGTTCTATTTCAAATGATTTCAAATGAGTCCTAACTATATATGCCAGATTCTGTTCTAAAAACTTTACCCTCACAACAACATTCATTTGAGATGAGAAAATTAAGCAGAATTTAAGCTGTCCACCTCAAGGCAGGATAGGAATTAAAATTCTAAGTCAGGCATGGTGGCACACATCTCTAATCCTACTACTCAGGAGGCTGAGGCAGGAGGACTGCCACAAGTTTGAGGCCAGCCAGGGCTACACAGTGAGCTCAAGGACAGTCTGAACTACAGAGCAAACCCTGTCTCAAAAAAAAAAAAAAAAAAAAAATTTTTAATT